TTTCCTTAATTACCACTTAATCCAGGTTTATCATGTTTTTTTCAAAACAGTCCCAAAATATAGGGTGTTTGTGTAAGTAACCCATATTTCGCCAGCAATACATCACATTTTGGATGGTCTATGTTGGCAACCCTTTCAAGTTTCAACCTATTTGTGACAGATAGCTCAGGACCACCGTTGGCTTTAATACCCACTAATAAATTTTATACTTTGCTAAAATATTTTATAATTTTACAAAGTTCGAATCACATGCCATTTGGAACTTTTTTTTTCTATAGCTCAGACATCTCTAACTTTTATTTATTCGCACTCTCACTTTTAGTAGCTTTCACCATCAAAAAATCCCAAAGCCATCCAAATCTCAAAAGATAGCAATGGCGATGGAAATGTGGATAATAAGTAATTGTAGCACTGGCAATGTTGATCCTTCGTTTTATTCGTCTAATTCTTAATACTAAGTTTTAAGTTGTATTGATCATTCTTTAGACAAAATGATTATTATAAAAAAGTTATAACAGTTAAACAGTCTTTTGAGGTGTTGTATAAATGAACTAGGAATATTTGGGTTCGAGTATGGAATATAGAGAAAGTATGCTAGCCTGTCGCAAAATTGATGCTCGAGCGTCAAAAACAGAATCAAGATTGCTCGTCTAGGCTAGCCCATGTTCGAGTGACGTGGTGTACATAAAACTCTAGTTCATGATTTTCAAGAGTTCTATTTATCATATATTATTCAAATATCTCATATTATAAATACACCATGCCTATTATGATTTTCTGTGTGATTGATTATTATAGTTCATCCTCGTAATGCCATTCCATGATCCAAAACACATCCAGACATTGAGATTAATCATTTGATTTTTGAGATCAATTAACCACGAGTTTTGGCGAAAAAAATGAAACTTCATAAAAAAACACATACTTTTTCAATAGCTTTCAAAGGTTACTAAAGATTGAGAGAGGTTGGACCGGAAGCACAGAAAGAGTACAAGAACAAGGTATTCATGGTGATCCACGAAAAATAGACAATTTCAAAACATCGAGAGTAGGTGTGAGTAAAACACGTTTATCGGGTCTTGGAGATTACAAGAATTAGATCATGAAGTCTAGTAGTTTTTTTTTAGACTAGATCATACTGTAAGTTCTTATTATCTATAGTGGAGGTTGCTAGCTTGGTCCTGAAATTTTTACAGAGTTAACGATTTTCTCAATCAACAAATCTTGTACTATTTACTGTTTTACTTATTTTTGTGGCAATTTAACATATGATTATCTTGATTTGATTGACTAAACATTTAGAACAATTAAAATGTGAATTGTTAATTTTGATTGGTAATTTTAATTCCGCGTTATTCACTTATTCATCCCCTCTAGTTAATTTTAGAGTTGAACTCGTAACTTTCATCTAGCATCATCCAAAATTCATATCCAAAATCAACAAAAAATTTACACAAATCAGTCTCTTCTACTCTTCACAAACACAGAAGAAATTGTTGCAATGGCAACGGTGACTGCCACAACAAGTGCCTCATTCATCCTCACAAATTTCCTTTCCTCCCTAGAAATCAAGCAACGCTTCTCTCCCCTCTCCACACAAAAAATCCAATTTCATATTCTCTTCTTCCGCTGCGTTTACTCCATTTCCTCTCAAATTCCACTACACAAAACACTTCAAACCCTTAAGTTTCAAAAATTTTGTGGGGTCAACTCAAGACCCCATGTACATCCACCCATAGTCTCCAACGCTCATCTACCTCCATAACTTCACTATCACTTCTCGTATCTACAATCCTATCGCACTGTTCACCTTGTAACTTAAAAAGAAAAGAAAGATGTACATCAAATATGTACATAAAGTTAAAGGCTGTGGCCTTTGTGTAATGGATATGGGAAAAGTACGACACCTCAACAGAAAACAGTGGGCCCAAAGACACGTTATTAGTCGACATTCCGTCCCACTGTTTTGTCGTTTTCATCAATCACAACAAAGGCAACCGAGGACTTCTGAGTACATGCAAACACAGTAAGGTTATCCTATATCCCTTCCCTTCTCCGTTCGATCATCACAAAATAGTCAACGGGCCAATTATAATTACTTTTTTGATCATAAATCATTTCGATTGCTGACTTTTAGCAATCTCAGTGCCTTTTTTTCCTTTGGCATTTTCATCTGTCTACACATAAAACATATAGAAGTAGTAAGAGAGAGAGAGAGAGAGAGAGAGATGGGAGACTGCAGAAGAGTGGGCGTGGCCGTTGATTTTTCACCGTGCAGCAGGAAAGCACTTGAATGGGCAGTGAATAACATTGTGCGAAAGGGAGATCACCTGATTCTAGTCACCGTCCAACACGAAGGCAATTATGAGAAAGGCGAGGCGCAGCTCTGGGGAGCTACCGGTTCTCGTATGAATTCAAGCTTTATATATATATATATATGGGATTTATTCGTAATTTTTTACCTGCACCTCCATTTTTGAAAAATATGCGTGTTTTATGGTGATTTTACATGATTGTGTTATGTTAATCAACTTATTTTGAGTTCAATTAATGTCTGCTGAAAGATTTTAATCTATTAATTAACCTGATAAGATGATTGAACTGTCGAAATTCTGGTGAATAAAAGGTGTTTTTGCATGATCTACTTTGGTCCTCATAAAAAAGTGAAATTCACTAATTGATCTCAATAATAATTGGATTGGAAGCCTTTTTAATTTTGAAATAGTGCAACCCTGTTTTGTTGTTCTAAAAATGGCGTTGAAATGTAATTGTACTCTGGTGATCAAGATCATAACTTAAATGCATCGTCTTTGTATTTATTTCTGTGGTTATTAACCTGTGTTTTTATTTTTGTGATTTTGTTAGCCTTGATTCCTTTGATCGAGTTCTCCGAACCCCATACCATGAAGAAATATGGGGTTAATCTTGACCCCGAAACACTGGACATTGTTGCTACTGCTTCTAAGCAGAAAGAGGTAATTTTGATGTTTACAGTCATCATGTCAGCACTAGGATTCACAGTACATCAAACAAGATTTGAGCTTCTTTTTGTAAAAAATAAAAGGGATGAGATACAGCCCTTGCAAAAGAGGAAGCAGCACAAAATCAGATGAATGCTTGAAGAATTATTTCACTGAGATTTTTCTTTCTTTTTTTATAATTACAACTGTTCAGCCTCACACGTATATATATACAATGAATAAGAAGAATCTAGAATAATATGCCTATTACACAAATTGAACTAATTGGTTAAAAGAAAAATGCTATACAGCAAAATCTAACAGAAAAAGAAAATGGTCCCCAATTTGCTTCCTTTGCAATGACGTTTCTACCCTCCATTATCGTGCTTCATCTGATTGCTTTCCTCTTGCTGATCATCAGCTTGCTGCTGTTGGTTATGCATCATGTGTGTTCTATATTTTAACATCCTCCCGCAAGATAGAGAGTTGAGGTCAACAACTCCAATCTTGTCCATGTGTTGGTAAAATTGAGAGGAGTTTAATGACTTTGTTAACATGTTAGCAACTTGAGAACTGCTACTAAGGTGTTTAGCAATCACGCTTCCTTCCTGGATTTTGTCCCAGGGACGGATTTAGGGGGGAGCCCCAACCCCCCCAAAAAAAAATTTTTTTAGTTTAAAAAAAAAAAAATTTAAAAAAAAATTCATGGGTAAATTTTTTTTTTTTACGTATTAGCCCGGTCTGTGATCCGGTCCGTCCCTGTTTTGTCCCGTATCAAATGGCAATCGAGCTCAATGTGTTTAGTTCTTTCATGGAAAACTAGGTTGGCTGCTATGTGCAGAGCAAATTTGTTGTCACGGAACAGGATAGCAGCCTGTGGATGGTTGATTCTCAAATCTTGAAACAAGTACCTAAGGCCAAGTGAGCTCACAACATACATTTGCCATGACCCTATATTCCGCTTCTGCTGAAGATGCGGATATTGTGCTTTGCTTCTTTGATTTCCAAGATATCAAGGATCTTCCAAACATCACGCAATATCCCGTGACACTCCTTCGTGAATCTGGACAAGCTCCCCAGTTTGAATCGCTATAAGCATTAAGCTGCAAATCTGAATCAATAAGGAACAACAATCCTTGTCCTAGGCTCCTTTTATGTACCTCAACACTTTATTAGCAGCATTCAGATGGGAAGTGCGAGGAGAACTCATAAATTGACTTAATAATTGTGCTGAGTATGAAAGGTCTGGTCTGGTAATGGTTAAATACAACAATCTCCTAGCATGTCTTCTATACATACTAGGATTAGGAAGAAGCTCTGCATCCGTCTTAGAAATCTTCACATTCTGATCTAAAGGTATCCTTGTTGGCTACACCCTATTGTTCCTGAGGCTGATAGTATGTCCAAAGCATACTTTCGTTGGCAAATATGAATACCTTTATCAGACCTTGCTACCTCTATTTCCCAAAAATATTTCAGTGCCAAATCTTTGATCTTGAATCTCCTATCAAGTAAGGCTTAGAGAGAGTCCATGTTGTCCATACCACTGCTGGCCACAATTATGCCATCTACATAGATGAGAATAGCAGTGAACGAACTCTCAGTACGCTTTGTAAACAGGCTATAGTCAGCCCTCAATTGAGTAAATCCTTGTTCAATTATAAAATGTTGAATGCTTTGAGTATCATTGTTGGGATGCTTGTTTGAGCCCATACAAGCTCTTCAACAACCTGCATACTTTTGAATGCCCTGCATCAGGATGGCCAAGAGGCATCTCAATGTACACTTCTTCATTCAAATCCCCATGCACAAATGCATTATTTATATCAAATTGATGTAATTGCCATCCCTTTACAGTTGCAACAAGAAGTAAAGTTCTGACAGTTACAATCTTTGCTACATGTGAAAATGTCTCATGGTAGTCCAATCCCTCTTGTTGTATATATTCTTTTGTCACAAGCCTGGGTTTGTACCTCTCAACACTACCATCAGTCTTATACTTTATCTTGTACGCCCACTTACACCCAATAGATTTCTTATTAGGAGGGAGATCTATCACAATCCAAGTGTTATTCATCTCAAGAGCAGCAATTTCAACATTCATGGCTTTGCACCAGTCAAGAGAGGCTAGTGCTTCGTGATACGTGTTAGGCTCAATGTGTGTGGTTATGGAAGTTATGAATGCTTTGTGATTATTTGATAGTCTATGGTTTGATATGGTATCATTGGGAGGGAAAGGACTACCTGGAATATGAAGACCTTTGTTCTTGTCCAACTTCCTTGATGCATGAAATGAGGCCTGTTGATAGATGTAGTTCTCAAGGTAAGTGGGAGTTTTCTTGGTTCTTGAGGATCTACGTGTTGGTTGATAGTTGTTCATGATGTTGTCAAATGGTTCTTGTTCTTGAAAGTTTGGTGAGAGGGATGACCTTGCAGGATAGTTGTCTGGCTCATGAAGTGAGGGAGATTTTTCACGATCAATTTTAGTTCTATCTGTCATTGCTTCATTAGTAGTGTTTTTATGAGAAAATGGGATATGATATTCTGTGTTAATGTTAGTGAGGATAGGTTGTGATAATTTTGTGTTAGCATTTTCAGATGTGCTGTCGTTTTTGTAAGGAAATTGGTCTTCATGAAATACTATATTCATTGATATAAAAACTCTTTTAGATTCAAGATCAAGAAGCTTATATCCTTTTATTCCAAAAGGATTCCTAAAAATATGCATCTCTTGGCTCAAACTTAGTTCTATGGTTAGCCAAGGTTCAAGAAAAAGCAAGGCATCCAAAGATTTTAAGATGTGAGTAATTAGGCTTGTGTTTGAATAGGATTTCAAAAGGAGTTTTGTTTTCAAGCAAAGGTGAAGGTGTTCTATTTATCAGATATACTGCAATAAGAATGCACTCATTCCAATACCTCATGGGGATAGCACTTTAGATTTTTAGGGCTCTTGCAACATTAAGAATCTGCTGATGTTTTCTTTCTACTATTGCATTTTGCTGTAGCGTTTCAACACATGTTTTCTGGTGTAAGATTCCCCTTTTATGGTAGTAGTATTTTATTTCAAATTCCCCCCCTCCCCCAATTGTGTGTTCTAATCACCTTTACTAGTGACTGAAGTTGAGTGTTTATTAAAGCACAAAACCTTGCAAAGCTGCAGTAGCATCTGATTTAGCTTTTAACATATAGACCCATGTACACCTACTAAAATCATCAACTATGGATAGGAAATATTTGGATCCATCATAACTAGTCTCAGTGGAAGGACCCTAGAGGTCACAATGTATGAGATCAAAAACTTTCTTAGATTTGTGATAACTGACAGGGAATAGTAATCTATGCATTTTAACCATAGGGCAAGCAGGACAAGGTTCCTTGGCAAGCTTAGGAATTTAATTGATATTCAACAAATCTAATCTAGAATGAGAGGGATGTCTCAGCCTATTGTGCTAGAGATCAAAATCCTTATTGTTGTTAAAGGTGGCTGCTGGCATAGAAGTTCTATAGGGAATAAGAGAAAAAACTTCCATTAAGGCTGAAGGAGAGACTTGAGGTAGTAGCAGATGATATAATCCTTGCCTCACTTCACCCATTTCGGTCGTTTTCCAAGTCAAAAGGTCCTGCACAAAACATTTTTCAGGGAAGAATATTAGACAGAATTTAGAGGTTTGTGTCACCTTTCTAGCAGATATCAAATTGAATACAAAGGATGGAACATAGAGTACATTATTCAGAATTAACATCTCTGTAATTTTTAGAGTTCATGTGTGTGTGTGTGTGTGTAATATTAACCAGATCACCATTTGGAAGGGAAACTGAATAAGATACTTTGGCTTGAATGGTGCTATAAAATGAAGTGCAGCAGACCATGTGGTCTGTTACTCCTGTGTCTATTATCTATGGTGTGTTAGGGTCCTTACTAGGTTTGGTGTCATAGGCAGATAAGCAAGATCAGATACCAGAGAGTTTAGAAACTTGTGTGTCTGCACGGGTTGTACTAGTGAGGCATTTGCTATTTTGTGATTGCAATAGAGCCAGAAGTTGTGCATGTTTCTCCTGAGTGAATATCACCTAATTGTCATTGTTAGTATCTCATTGTCCCTGTAAAGAAACCAGATTAGCTTAGGCCTTTCCCTTTCCATATAACCTGTGTCCAAGAAGGTATCCATGAATCTTATAGCATTTGTCTACAGAGTGTCTTGTCATATGGCAATGGCTGCATGTTGATTTGTTAGGGTTGGCTTTAGTGCATCTTTCTAGTGAAGTATCTTCTCTGTCCTATTCCATTCTGCCATGTTGTATTATAGAAGCTTCCTCTAGTTGCAAGTGTTATAGAGTCAGGTATAGAAGCATCGTTGAGGGTTTCTTCTTTTCTCCTCTTGCTGAATTATAGAATATACCTCATTAAGAGTTGGAAAATGCTTGATTAGCAGGATTTGAGCCTTGATTGCCTTATATGAGTTATCCAGCCCCATCAAAAACCTCATTGCCCAGTATCTTTGTTGGTTCTCAATGACAGATTTCAAACCTCCACAAGTGCAGTTGGGAATGGACTCATAGTTCATCAATTCATCAAGGAATGTCTTATATTTTGAGAAGTATACATTCACAATATCTTCATTTTGCATTAAGGTAGCAATGGACTGTTTTACTTCATAAATCCGTGGGGGGTTGTCCTAACTGATGTTCCAGGTCCAACCAGAGCTCACGAGTCGTGTCAGCATAAAGTGTGCGGGACTTAATATCAATGGACATGGTGTTTTATAGCCAAGCAATTACTATACCATTGCTTTGTAGCCAGTGTTCCATCATAAAATTGTTGGAATCTGCAGGACTCACAAAGGCTTCCATCGATGAAGCCGAGTTTATTCTTAATTCAAAGTGCTCTTTTTATGGACCTAGCCCAAGCATAATAGTTGGTATTGTCAAGCACATGAGTGACTAGTATTGCACCTAAATTGTTATTTCCCCCAATATCGTAGGGACTGCAGGGATGAGTAGGATCATTAGAATTTGAAGTATGATGAATGTTTGGCATTGGGTTGGTGTTAACATTTTGCTCAGTGCTTGCATTCAAATTTGCTGTATCCACAGTAGTGCTTTGATTGTCTATGGCTCTGATACCATTTCAAAGATAAAAAGGGATGAGATACAGCCCTTGCAAAAGAGGAAGCAACACAAAACCAGATGAATGCTTAAAGAATTATTTCACCGAGATTTTTCTTCCTTTTTTGATAATTACAATTGTTCAGTCTCACACGTATATATATACAATGAATAAGAAGGATCTAGAATACTATGCCTATTACACAAATTGAACTAATTGGTTGAAAGAAAAATGATATACAACAGAAATCTAACAGGAGGAGAAAATGGTCCACAATTTGCTTCCTTTGCATTGACGTTTCTACCCTTCATTATCGTGCTTCATCTGATGGCTTTCCTCTTGCTGATCATCAGCTCGCTGCTGTTGGTTATGCATCATCTGTGTTCTATATTTTAACACTTTTTGCATTTTTAATACTGTTTGATGTTGAGCATATATGCAGTTCCCCTTTGAAGAATTGCAATATTTATATTTTAACAATGCAGATAACTGTGCTCCTGAAAGTCTTTTGGGGAGATGCTCGAGAGAAGTTATGTGAATCTATTGATAATATTCCTCTCGAATGCCTTGTCATTGGAAACAGAGGCCTTGGCAAAATTAAGAGGTTTGATTCATTTTGAAGTAATTTTCCATGATTTGCAATCTTTTACGTAGAGAGTAATTTTGGAGATATTAATTCACTCTTTTTCAATGGCTGTATGGGTTTCCACTGAACCAATTTACTTAATAAAGCCCTAAGAAGTTAATTTGCCTATTTATTAATCAAGTAATGGTCCCTTGAATCATGTAAATGTTAGCATGAAGTATAAGGACATATTTGATGCACAGTACCAGAAATTTTGACTTTTTTACCTTCTTGATCATGACCTTTATTGTTCAATCTAGCCACCCTTTTGGAATCTTTCGAAAGGAACTTTTGCCGCATTGTAATTCCCCATTTGTGTCCAACATTGTCAGAGAACAAAAAATTCCTTGAATTTCACAATGTTGGTTTTTTAATTCGAGTTGTAGACTAAGTCATTGCTCATTTGTGGGCGCACATTGTCTTTAAAACTAATAGATACTCAGTTTATTTCATTGTATTTTTGCAGGGCTATTATGGGCAGTGTGAGTAATTACGTTGTCAATAATGCTACTTGTCCCGTTACCGTTGTGAAGATCCATGATTAGACCTATGCATTATCAGTTGGAACTTATTAATGTTGTTTCGAAACTTCTTAGCAAATAAGTCTCTGTTGTCTGTAATTCAGACGTGTGGTTGGATTTGTGCGTGTATATTGCTGGCAGAGGATGCTTGTTTCGCTTAAATAAAAACACAGTTGGAATTCATTCTGAATATTTCTGGATTCGTTCATTTGCCTTCGGATGATCATTTTATGATGAGACTGGCTGGCTGGAAGGTCAGTGCTATTAAAGCTCGTTTTGGAAGATGAACTCTACAGGATAACATATTCTGATATGACTTATAATTGGCTAGGGTGCCTAAATCATTCAAGTTGTTCACAAAATATTAAAAATTATGTGAACTATGAAAATTTAAGATTGTAAATTTTCATTAGTTGAAATACACTTAAACTTGGCTGAAACATTGTTTTCTTTTAGTTTCTTAAAACACCAAAAATTATTTAGCCCCTAGATGGTACAGATTAAAATTCAAATTTTAATCTAAGTCAAATTCAGTAATTAATTCCAACCACATTTTATGGGTCCCACAACTTTTCAACACATATTTCATCAACTTCGATCAAAATCTACTAAAAATTAGATTTTAATCCCCCATCAAAAAGGACTTAATTTAAAATTTTAGTATTTTAATAATGAACTATCTAGTGTAACAAGTTGTTAATTCAATCCACTGGTTGTTAAGTTGCTTATATTCCAACATTTCATCCATACTTTCCATATAAGCCAAATGGAAACTATGATATTTTAAAAAGCCATAACAAATCTTATGAGACGACGTTCAATGGAAGCAATGCGTCAACAAAGCGAAAATTCTTTTTCGTCGAGTCTCTCTAGACTCTAGCTCATGTTCTATTTTTTGGGTGTCTCATAACCAAACAAAATTCTACAAGAAGTAATCTCCCAACAGGCTTTACACCATCCATTAGTTGTCAAAAACTAACTTACAATTCATACACATAATGAACATCATTTCATCATAAGACAGCAAAAAGTTACATGTACAGAGAGACCATAATCCATAAGATAAGTACCATAGTATTCACATCCGTATGACTTGTTGTACTCCCTCCATCCTGGAACGCAAGCTCAGTATTGTCCGCCGCAAGCCTGTGAATGATGTGTATTTAGAAGAAAGTTCATCAAACTACCACCCTGAACACCAAACGCTATAAGAGCACAATCGGTACAAACTACTGGACATGACCGACAAGATTAAAATGAAGTTAAAATCTTGATGATTGCATAGCCTGGTGTCGTATAAAGTATTGTATACCAAATGAGATAACAAACAACAACGGTGATATGGTTTCCATCAACTATTCTATAATAGAAATTAGATAGTACAGAGTTTCAAGATATCAACGGGCAACAAAAATAGAGGCTCCTAACATGGTACTAAAATCGAGGTGATGTTTCAAGATATTGTTTCTATACATGACATCACATTGTACCAGAATGAACTTGCTTATACAACTTTAAGAAAACAAAATATCAACCCCATGTAAAACATCAAACTTAACATTTTTCCTCTCAGCACTTGTTTGTAACTATTTAGATACTAATTATGCAATGCACCAGGATACACGTGATATTTGTTCAAAATAATGTCTAAAGGGCATATTTCTGGAAAAAAAGTAACTTTTTAGCACAACCAAAAACGCCTTAAGTTCAATAACACTAAGAAGATTCATGGTTTTATAAATGAGTATAAGAAGGTAGACGATTGCGAAAACCACATAACATGCCATTCAATACCTTGAATTACCTTTCCTGTCATTCACCATCAGCATCAGGTGAAACTAAGCTTTCAACATAGGTAATCGCTCCAAGGAAATCAGTAACGTTAGTAATCTTGGGGGACTTAAAAGAATTATCTTTCAGGTTGTAAACTACAAAGGACGACCCAAGAGCCAATAGAACTTCCCCATTCGGCAGTATGCACAATGGCATCGAGTACATATATTTCCCTGGATCATAAATATAAGGAATGGAAATAACTTTAGTCCAAGACTCTTTAACCCCATACTCCTTCAAAACCCACACATCTGCACGAGTTTTCTGATAATTGCAAAGCACAGAAATGCATTCTCCTAGAACCCCTAATACCGAGGTAAAATCTCCTTCCCCATAATTTGGTTGCTCTACCGTACCATATATCTCTCTCTTTAAATCAAGAGAAACAATATCCCACCCAGAACTGAACCCCTCCCCAGGACTAGCAGACCAGTGGAGCTTCCCCTGCGCAAACATGCCCGAATCATCCAAAGGCACTCCACCCTTAAAATCCTCGATCCTCCTCCAAGAATTAGTCTTCAAACTATAAATCTTTACCATTGTCTCACACCCACCCGCATTTCCAAATGCACAGAAAATCCCCACAACCTTATAATCTTCAGTAGTCTCATCAAAACCAAACCCATATACGATGCAGAAACCCCGCCCCATTGGAACATCTACATCGGGCAATTTCTTGGATTTTCTCACAGATGGGTTCCACAAGAACAAATCTTTCTCATTTATTGCAATGCAAATAAGCCCGTTGCAAGAACCAACTACCCAAACAGACCTACGCGGATGTTTCCTCGGATAACTAATTGTAACCGCCTCAGTCAAAGGCTCATACAACAAAGACCTAATCGAACAATTCTTAAGATTACAACGTGGGTACGAGATAGTAAACATGATCCTATGGAAGGTAAAATTACGGTCATTTGTTGAATTTTTTAGATGGGTTTTTATGAATTGTGTGCTGGAGATTAGGGAAAGCCATGATTTTGAAACGCACTTGAATTTCAAGAGTGATTTTATGGGGAGTCTTGACAGGATTTCTAAAATGATTTCTGATGGAAGAGTGGAGATTGGACTAGAGGAGTACCTGATTTTCTTCGAATGTTGTTGGATTGGGGAATCTGAAGAAATTTCTTCCATGTCTTTTGAGATTTGAGAATGGAAGGGTTTACTCTGAAGAAGAAAACAGGACAGGATTGAGAGTTCGCACTGCGCATAGCATAAAACATCTAATATATATATTTTTTCATAAATTGCTTATTTTAACAAATAAAAGGGAAAATTGCAGCCACGGTACCAAACCGTTCCAATTTTCACAGACTTTACTCAAACCTTTGTTTTGTGCCACCGGAGGTACCAAACGTTTCAAAAATATGCGCCGAAAGTCCATCTGGACGGATTCCGTCTAGTTGATCGTTAGTCAACCCAAAAAAGTTAAAATTGATTCAATTTTAACCAAATTAAAAATGGCAAAAATGGTCATTTTACTATTTTTTCTCATAAAATAATTAAAATATCACTATTCATCTGCCACCCCACCCCATCCCAAATAATCAGCCACCTACTACAGTCTCAATGTCGCGACCACTCACCTACCACAACCTCCAGTCCATGCCGGTAATAGCAGTTGTTGTGGCAGTGGCAACACTCGAGAATGTGGTGTTCGTTGAGGCGTGTATTGAGAAAATTGAGAAGTTGCAAGACGGGTGTAGAGGCAGATGTTGAAGGCCGAAAAGGTTGAAGATGTAGGGGAGAACGGACCTCTCCCACCACAGCCTCCAATTTGTGCTGCCTGAAAATGCAAATCTGCTATATGTCAAAACCCCCTAGCCAATTTTTGCTGTATGTCAAAAACCCCACCTTCTACAAATACCCCACCTCCTTTCCTCTCCATCGCCTCTTATACCCAAAACTCGTGCTTCTCACAAACCCACTCACCATCTCCCACGACCACCACAACTACCTACGACCAACGATTAACTGTACCAACAAACAGATTTATAGAAGTAGTATTAGTACTGAGAAGAAGCTGGAGGTATTGAAATTGTTAGTATCGGGAAGAAGCGGAAAACAGCGACCTGGGAGTGAATCCATCCTTCCTATGCACCTTCATATTGCCTCAAGAGAAAGCACTATTTGTGTCTATTCTTGATTCTACGGAGAGGAGTAGAGTTAAGAGGATGATGAGACAGTGGCTTGCTGGATTTAGGGTTTTCGAAATCGTCATTGATGACTAGGAAAAGGCTTGAGAGTTGGATTTTTTGGGTTTTTTTTTGTTACTGAAAAATTTTGCACAAATTGCACATCCAAATATTGAAGGTTGCTGTAATGATTGTTGGTGATGGTAGTTGTGGGAGTGTGGCGACAGGATCGATGGTGACCATGGGAGGGATGGTGGTTGATTTTCTATGGGGTGGGGGTGGGGTTTTTTTTATTATTTTATGAGAATAAATAGTAAAATTCCAATTTTATCCCTCCTAATTTTGTCAAAATTGAATTAATTTTGACTTTTTGGATTGACTAACAGTCAACTAGACGGGATCCGTCCAGATGGACTTCCGGTGCATATTTTTGAAACGTTTAGTACTTCTGGTGGCACAAAACAAAGATTTGAGTAAAGTCTGTGAAAATTGGAAAGATTTAGTACCGTGGCTGCAATTTCCCCCCAAATAAATGATGAAAAAGATTTGTTATGAAGGAAATAGCATTTTTGAAAAGAGAAAGTGTTTTCTTCCCAAATTTTGAAAAAAGTGTCAATGACTTCCAAATGAAGTCCTGTTTGGGTCACATTCTCATTCTTCTACTCATTTTCAACCACACATTCTCCAATAAAATAATATTTTACATCATATTAATAACTTCTCCTTATTTTTCAACCACATATTCTCCATCACATCAAAAAAAATGCACTATCTCCTAAAAATGTGCATCAAACACAATTAAAATATTAATAGGTAATTAACACGTAATGTCCATTTCTTTTACTATTATTGTGAAAAAAATCTCTATCTTTCATTATTCGACATTTTCAACCTTAATTACACATTTAATTGCGCAAACCACCATTTTATCCATTTTCATCCAATTTCTCGATAAAAAATGTGAAATGACGAATATACATTCTTATTTAAATAAAATAAAATAAAATAAATAAAAATTAACAATTTTTTTTAATTTTTAATTTTTTAACAATTTATTTAGGATTTGTTTGCACTTTTTTAAAAATTTTGTGACTATGATTGCAATTAGTTCTTTCCTTTTCTTTTTGTTTTATTTAAATAAAAGAATATATTCGTCAATTCACAACTTTCAATTGAGAAAATGGATGAAANNTTTCAATTGAGAAAATGGATGAAAATGATCTTTTACTGAATGAAATGTGAAAATAATAGTGAAACATTTTTCACAAGAATAGTGAAAAGTAATAACTCTAATTACCCTTTTCTTTTTTCACTTTTAAAGTTAGCCAAAGGTGTTATTTGAAAATAAAAAACTATCAATTTAGACGTCACTTATTTAAAATATAATTTAAATGAACTCCAATTTTCTACTCGAAAAAGAAAACCAATAAATTCTGTTATGATATTTTAAAATATAGTTTAAAATTTTATTTTTTTTATAATCGTGAATGTACGGGCCAGCTTACGCGCACCTCGACTAATTCCACGAGATCCTGAAGTTTACGGTCGGGTACTCACCTTAGTGATCCTGAGGGGATTCGAACTAATGACAATTGGAGAGCAAACTCAAGACCTAACCAATTGAGCAACCCCTCAAGGTTTAAAATATTAGTTTAAATGAACTTCAATTGAATATAGTACTCTATTAATTTATTAAGGGCATGTTTGAGTCCATTTTTTTTATAGAATGTATTTTGAAATAGTAGATTGATGGAAAATGTGTGATTAAAAAATAATAAAAAATTTTGAATTTACGTGTAATATTATTTTATTGAAAAATATGTGACTGAAAAGAAGAGAGTGAGAAATCTATTTTTAAAAAAAATGATCAAACAAGCACTAAATATTATAAAACATCTGAAAATGGATTTTAAAAATGTGAAATTCAAGTACATAAATTTTTTATAAAATTAATATTTATATTCTAGTTTATTATTTACACCACAATTTTTATTTGTTCGTCATCTTTTAATTGTTCATATGGTCATCAACATTTTTTATTGTAACACTTGTGTCCTTGGCATTTTTGTGGAATTCTTATCTTCACATTTCTAGTAATTAACACAGTCGCACCTTTGATGATGACTTTATTAAAAGTTTCTATTTTGCTTGCTTTGAAATGAAAGAAAAAAGTTGTCACACTTTTGCATTTTTTTCAAGTATTATGGGCAAATCAAATATGTTGTTTCATGTCCCCTCCGCCTCGATGGACCTTTTGTACAAAATTGTTGTCTAAGATGAAATATTTTAATCTATCAACAATATTTAAAAAGTGGGGATTGAGGAGATACTTTTAAAAGACAATAATGCCCTCGCTAGTTTTGCATAAGTCCTAATTCATTCTTTAATTATTATTAGAATTTAAATAGTTTTATAACCTACTATTCAATTATTATTTGAATTTATAACACTATGGGAGAGTTTTAAATGTGGAGGGTTGCTTGCGTATCCCTTTATTTTTGGTAAATTAGCTATGTTGCGTAGTTTAAAACTTGAAATGACATATTTTATTAGCTCGATTAATATATAAAATTTATAACACAATATGGGCGAGTTTTGAATGTGAAGGGTGTTGGAATTAATTGATAAGGTGTTAAATAATTAA